AACACGGAAGCTTGGGTTTTCCCTTCTTCGCTGGCATGGATTTCGACTTTTAGTTCTATTAAAGTGCCAGTTTAGAGACCACCGAGAGGAAACACCTATTCCGAGCCAAAATGTAAGCTCTGTTGCGATAAGATTTTGTCGTCGTCACCCTGCCTGTACCTTATTGTTTACGAAAAGACTAAAACCAAACCTTTGAGTTCTTTAGACAAAAAAAAGACATCGGAAAATTGGGAATATTCACAGGCCTTATTGCCCCAAACGATATTGGTGGACATATCTGAGGATTTTTAAATTTCGACAATTTAAAGAGAAAGGTGCCTTCACCTTCATGACATGGTTAAAAAAATGAAAAAAAAATATTAGGTAGCTACTACTTACCTGAACACTCTAGAGCAAGTTTAACTTCTTTGGAGATTCTGGTTAATGTCAAAATCAAGTTGGATCTTCTTTTTGAACCTTCTTTTTCATATGATTTATCTACATTTGCTGTTTATAAAAGCAGACATCCGTAGTTCACTGATTGACAGAGAGCGATAGACCCTGCAATAGTTGTGAATACAACCTTCAAGTTTTGACAAAAAAATGGACTTAGGCTTAACAATCATGTCAGTCCTCTTGTAAAATTCAAATATTAATAGAATTATAATTGCCAAATATCAAAAAATTCAAGAGTTCAGCACAAAAAAATGATATTTAAGGCCGCAGTACTTCATCGGCTGCTCACATTACTAACTCTAAGAAAAGAAATAAGCTCAACTCTTCAAATTGAAATATATTGCGTTAGTTACTGGGTGAAAATTGATAATAATATGGATAGAAAGCAGGTTAGCATATATCACTGACAGAAATTCCCGACCCAAGTTCTTGGTGGACACCGGTTCCCAAGTCAGCGTTATCCCTCGATCCGCAGATAGTGCTGTCTACAAATTACCGGGACTTCCCTTTTGGCGACGACAATACGCAGATCTCTGTCTGTGAACAAAAACTTATCAACCTGGATCTAGGACTTCGTCGAGAATTCCATTTGTGTTCCTGATTGCAGACGTCCGAAAGCTCATCATTGGTGCTGACTTTCTCTCTAAGTTCCAATTCCTAGTCAATCTCAGAGAGAGCGTTCTTGAGGATAACGTTACATCCCCATAAATGGTCGAATCTACAAAGGATTTTGGTTCTTTCGGTTTGAATGTCCTCTTTCCCGTCGAAAACCATTTCGCAAACATCTTGTCTGAAGACTATCGTGCTCTCAATCAAATGACTGTCACAGATCGCTATCCCATACCTCATATTCATGATTTTTTGCTCCAATTACATGGGAAAGTCGTCTTTTCCAAGCTAGATCTCGTCCGAGCCTATGACCAGATTCCAATGGCCCCAGAAGACATCGCTAAGACAGCCGTTATCACATCATTCGGCTTGTTCTAATACCTACGTATACCTTTCGGTCTATGTAACACGGCCCAAACCTTTCAGCGATTTATGGACTGAGTTTTTCACGAGTTCGATTTGGTTTAGCATTTATTGACGTGTCTTACAATGATCTTCCCTAGAGCGCTTGTAGTTAGCTGAAATACAGTGAAAACGCTTGAAAAATAAAGGTTAATGTACAAAATCAATGATTCAAGAGGGGAAGGTAACTTATCGACCCCAAAGTGTAACAGGGTTTTGGGTAGAGGTGAGACAGGCGTTGGAACTGCGGATAAGGGAATGTATGAGTTGATGGATGTAAGAGCGTTGATTTATGCATGCTTGTGGACCTTGAAGGATGTTTCTCTGGAAGTAACGATTGGTGATTGACGTTCGTGTTGAACGGATATTTGGATGCGATAAACCATGAAAATGGTCGAAGTCTTCCGGCAGTATGTCTGCGTGACGAATGGTCTCGGCTTGCCAGTTAAAACGTCGCAGTGGATTCGGGTATTGTGAATCTGCAGAGGTAGGTCTTCAAAGAGCAATGTGTTTCGGGTTATGTCTGTTTCCACAGACGTTCTGAGGGAGTCTTAGCGAGTGAATGGAGAGCGTCGGAGTGTAGATGAGAGGATGATTGTTCGATTAGAAAGAAATCACCGAGTGATTGGAGTGGTTCGAAGAAAAATCACGATGCCAGTGAGAGATTGCTTCCCTGATGAGTGGATGAAGTCAGGCTTTGGCAATCACGCCAGGGTCACTAATTTGTAGCGGATTGTTACACTAGTAAAGATTTGACGGACTCAGAAATCTCTGTGGCATACTCTCCTATATCTAGCTGGACTCCCAGAACAAGCTAAGCTACAGCCCGGCTATGGAGAAACAGACGTATGGAAGGGGTTACATTTATTTGGAAAGTAAATTGTGGCAAATGTGTACACACCTTAAGGTTAGTCAAAATCAATATGGCGGATTTGATTAAGCAAACAAAGGCTTCTGATGGGCTATTGGTTGTGAGCATGCGGTCACTCGTTAGACGATGACGTGTCCCACATGCGTTCTCGACGCCTACACATTTGAACTAAGGTATTTCATACACGCTCAAGCACTGAAATATGCGGTCGTTCTGTTGATCACAGAGCGTGCTGAGATTTAGTATAGACTAATTTTTTGTGGTATTCCGCCACACGTTTAGGCTGTTGCATGGGTCGATCGATTTATGGATTGCTGACTAAAGCAGATTAGCAGATTTTAGTGCCAACGGTCAATTTTACACCTGTTGCTTAATCAGCTTTTGTAAATTGATAATAATAACTCGGAAGACCAAAATTCTTAATCTCTAGTGATACTGATTTTGTATATAAGCAAGTATTACATATGTTACAAATTAGGGGTAAAATAATTGTTCATTAAAAGATTTATCGGTTTTCCTTATACGCGATTAAAATATATTGATTTTATTCTTCAAACCTATCACAAGTGTGCTGAATTTGCCCGTAAGTGATATTCATTAGTTTGTATTAATCTACACATTTTGAAATACTATTATAAAAGTTTCCATGTCGAATACCGGATATTGCTTAGAAAATAAAAATCGTTGGTCAAAACACTTTTAAGATAGAAGATTGGTAAACAAAAGCGAATTAGAGTGGAGAATAAATGCCCATCAAATGATCAAGTACATGATAACATAAGTTTTAATTCACTTGTGCTTTCATAAAGTTGCACTCCTCAATTTAGTTCGAACTTGGTGTTTCTGTAATTACAGCTTAGAGGTAGAATTAAAAATCCTGAGTGGTAGTATCTACCGATGTCTCAAAGCTGAAAATTAAGCTTTCTTGATCTAAACATTGGTTTTAAGATATAATCTGCATGTATTAAATTTCTCAATGCGCCTTAAAATGTCCGTTTTGTATTTTAAATTACCTATTCAGTAAAATGAAGGATTCAGGAATAAGTAGCTCGCCTGTAAGCAAGGTAGACAGAGGCAAAACAGTAGACCGGAGATTGCAACCAATTTGTCGAAATAAGTCGGAACCGTCAGAGCTATTGCTCCCACTGTTCACCTCAAATAATTTGCCGGAATCAGAACGAAATGCAATTCTTTGGAATCCTTGTGATCCAGTTTCAATGGAAGGTAGATGCGAGAGAACAATGTTCACTTCTGAAATTCTTGCCCCAAGTAAGTTTTCGTCAACCAAATTTTAATTCTAATGAATTTATAATAGGTACAAGTAATGTTTTTTATTAATTAAATATCGATTTTATTGATTTATGAAAGCTTTCCCACACTCACCTACATCCACCAAAGTAAGTTCACTTTATTATATTCTATACCAAATTTAATTACTGATTCAACTTTGGTTTTACAATTTTTACGCCACATTTTTCTTTAGAAACCAGAAAAACTTGGAAAACTTCTTCAAAAGTGTTTCTTCTGCTGTGGTCATCTGCAAAACATTTAGATAGAAGGCAATCCGACAATAAGTTACATACTCAAACCTTATATTATATATTTATTATTCTCCAGGAATTATTCTTCGTTTCAAACCTGTTGGGTGGGTTTCGGAATAGTCGAAATCGTTCAATTATGTCTAAATTTGAAATTAACAAAACTCACTTGAAGGATTGCTATTAAATTACTTTTAAGAGTCTAATGAGATTCCAAAACTGTTCTCATTATCAACTTTATTCCAACGTTTTTCACTGCCACAGTGCATATAATTTTGTTTAGTAGCACTGAAAGACAAAAACACATATTTTGCTCTATTAACTGAATATAAATCTACATTGTTTAGTGCGATAGTATTTTCATAACTCTTTTTGGTACATTAAATTGCAAGAATGAGATAAAAATAATGAAATGGAACTTTTAAATTCTAAAAACCCAATCCCATTAAATTGAGTGCACTGTAACATTAAAAGAATTTATAAATATAGGATGGTTTAAATTGGATTGGATTTTGGTTAGTTCGATCTCCTTAACCCCCCCCTCCCCCCTCCACACACACACACACACACACACACCTCTCTCCATCCCCCTCTTCCCAATAAACTGTAACTTCGCTGGTTATAATTTTACCACGAATTAAAAGCTCTTAGAAAAATTTCAGATTTGCACTTGTTATATAGTGAAAAAAGGCCTAACCGAAAGAATGTAATCAACTGTAATTGCACCAAAATAATAGCAATTGGCGTTTTGGTTTGAATATTTGAGTTCATCAAGAATTAATTCACTAACTGATTCTGTTATAAGTATTGACCACTCTATAACAATAAGATTTTGAATGCGGTTCGAACCATTTCGTTGTGTAATTCTTTCAAAAATAAACCCATTAACCTATCTTTCTATACTTATAAAATAATACTATCAAACTTCCAAAAATTCAAAAATCCTTTTTGTTAAATAACAAAAATTTACATATATAATATTATTGATTGCCATTTTTCACTGATTAAGTTGAATTATATTTAATTTTGTAAAGACCACTCTTGCTGCTTGCAAATGGTAAATAAAGTTTGTTTTAGTACGTTTACTAGAGCCGCTATAATGAAAGCCTTCAGGGCTCTGTTCTTATCGCCTATCTTGAGACGCGATGAGTAATATTTATATTACTGAGCCAGCAACAAATGGAAAGGTTATATTAACAACAACAGTCGGTGATATTGAAATAGAATTATGGTCCAAAGAAACACCTTTGGCATGCAGAAATTTTGTTCAACTTTGTATGGAGGGTTACTATGATGATACCGCTTTTCACAGATTAGTCAAAGGTTTCATTGTTCAAGGTGGTGACCCTACTGGAACAGGAGAAGGTGGAGATAGCATTTACGAAACACCCTTCAAAACGGAAAGCCATACTAGGTTGTCTTTTAATCGCAGAGGGCTATTGGGAATGGCGTGCCCGGAGCCTAATTGCAATGGAAGTCAGTTTTTCTTCACTTTGGGAGAGGCTCTGGAACTTAATGGCAAGCACACCCTCTTTGGTCGTGTTGTCGGAAACACTCTCTTTAATATGCTCCGTCTGGCTGATGTTGAAGTTGTGAATGGTGACAGACCAACTCGCTTGCATCGGATTTTGAAGACAACTGTTGTTCTGAATCCCTATGATGATATTGTTCCACGTCAGATAAAAGCCAAAAAGAAGGACAAGAAAAATGATGCCGAGGAAGTTCAATCAACAGCAAAAGCAACAAAGTAGATTTGCGTTTAATTTGTTTAATTGATGTGATTTAGAAATTACTCGTTACTTTCCTTTGGTGAAGAAGCGGAAGAAGAGGAAGAGATTATTACCAAGGTGGAAGAAGTAAGTCTGGAAACCCTATCTCTTGAGCATATTTATATTTCGTTATTTTCATGAATGGTATACTTCTATTTGTAAATCTATTCTGCAGATGTTTTGTCATATTTGACCCTTGTTGGATTTTATTGATTTTTTTAGTTAGGTTGTCAAAGCTCTCTTCTTTGTCTTTGTTCAACGTATGTCAAAAATGTTGTATACTAACTGGAATGCAATGATAGTAATTATGGTATTGACGTATTCCAACTCTGAAGCAATATTATAAGCTCAAACTCTTTAATTGTTTTAGCTGTACGAGGTGGCTATGCTGTTATCTTTGAAAAAAATAGATTCTTTTGAAACCACAGAGGAGCAAGATCCAAGATGTAGTGTTATTGTTTTGTGCTGTGGTGGAAAATTCACACAGTCTCACTATCTTTTTCGATGAGTTTGTGAATAGCGCTCCCGACAGTTTGTTTCATATCCGTTACGTGCCCTTCTCTTCCATTTTAGAAGTTGCGTTCACGTGGAAAGAGCGCCCATGATTTGGTGAATGACGAGAAACTCTCTAAGGAGACTGTGCCTGTCTCAGATAAAGACGCAGAAATCACCGCGAAAGCGCTTGCTGAAATGGAAGCAGAAGCGGACGCACGCAAAAGACGGCGTGAATTGGCTGCTCGACTTCAAACTGAGGAGGAGATGAAGGAGAAGGAAAAGAGAATGTAAGGTCATTTCAAATTTGTGACTTATTTCGAAAATGCTTTCCTCTTATTTGAACTAGATTTTTCCCGGTTTGTTAAAACATTTCAACGATCAAGTCTTTCCTGTCATATTCGTTCGATGATCTTAGAAGTTAGTTCAGGTTAAGGTGCACTATTTACTTTCTTAGAGATAAGCTCTCTTGTGATTGGTATGAAAACTAAAAGCAAAACCAAATGAGTAATAAATGCCAATTGAGGGCTTACAAAAATTCGAAGTCGATTCGCCTCAATTCAATTCCTTTACTTAAACTAGCATTAGTCCATAGAAGACTTCTGCTATATGAAGTAACTTACTCCAAATTTTTTTATCTCAAAGGCTCTCTTGAAGTCATCAATCGGAAAATGTTTTACCTCGTAATTCGCGCTACTTGAGGGTACTATGGGTAATAACTAGAGCTTAATTCTCTTGGGAACCGGTTGCGTAGTGCTTAGGGTTCAAGTCTGAGATATCGAAAATCACGGGCTCAATCCACATCGATCCACACCCAGTAACATGGGTAGTTAGTTGCACTGGGTAACTGCTCAATCGATCAGGCTGTATAACCAACGTATGCATGTTCTAGCCAGTAATTTATAAATATATCCTACACTGTCATAGAATTTTATCCTCCCAAGGTTCCGTTATTGGAAATGATTTAGTGGCTAATATACGGAAGAATAAGACTTGGTTTCTTATACATTGAGTTATATTTCAATTTCCTGAAAGTAATATAAATTAGCTTTCGTCATATCCTTGGTTTGAAGAGCGAACTAAATTCCAGTTGTTCGTTGTTGTAATTGGATGCAAACCAAGCCACCATTTCCCTAGTCCACTAATGGTACTCGTAAAATAACCTTGTATTCCCTATAGGCATGAGCTGCAAGCGGAGGCCGATGCAGTACGTCGGGACATCGCAAAGACGATCCGCTCAGCTAAGGAGCGTGCTGAAGCAGCCAAGGCAGCAAAACGCCAAGCCGAGGAGAAGATCAAGCGTCAAATGAATGAGGAGGAGATGGCTGCCGAGTTTGAGGCGAGACAACGTGATAAAGCCCTAAAATCCTCTGCAAAATCTACAGCTGGTCCAGCCGTAATGGTGGAAAATTTTGCTGATGAAGTGGCTAGTTATCGTGCACGGGCGAGGAAAAATAAAGCGGTTTGTGGATTCTGGGAATACATGTTTATATAACGCATTTGGGTTTAAGAGATAATAGTGAGATCAACCGTCTTTGACCTTGGTAATGATCTGGAAAGTGTTTTTTTCTTCCACTGCTATTCTTTGGCTTCTTTTTTTGGTTTTTTTATTTCCAGGATGCTGGAATCGCGCCACCAAATCATTAGCTTGTTGGTTAGATGCAGTCGTGTGGATCTGATCTGTGCTCATTAGGTTAATGCGTTCGAAAAGGAGATGAAAGTCAAAAGCTTATATTCTATCATATTGGTGAAACCCAATCCCTTGACCGCCTTGGTTCTGCTGACTCTTCCTTACACTGAGTTATAAGGCAGAGTAGGAAATTGGTGATAAATGATGGAAGTGACTCTGGAAGAGGAATTCTGTTATTTGTAGACATAATTGCTTTAAAGCAGGCTGTCTAATTACCTGAATGATACCCTCAATTAAAATGTCGATGACATCTAGTATTTCGAGTCCTATTTAGCGTCTTTTCCTCATTAACTTCTTTTAGCGATTTGCTGATAGTGAGAATTCTGCTTGCGGATTAGCTAATTTATGCTTTAATGCATCCTGCCACATTTCGCTTGAAAATCGCATGCAGAAACAAAATCAACTTTTGCCCTAGTTGATAATTCTTAGGTAACCAAAGTAAACACTTTTTCTAATCTCCTTAACTGCTAATCAGAAGGGGCTTAAACTGAACTGTACAGTACTAGCTTCGATAGAATTCTGAAAATCCTTATGAAATACTTTCTTAGAGGAAAGAATTTTACAGTGGCTTTTACTTAATCTATTATTCCACTGTACTTTTTCATTCGATTATAGTTTTTTCGCCTTTTTATGCTCTTATAGATCAAAGACCGGGAGGATTTGACCATGAATCTTCTGAATCGTTTCCAAACTCGCCTTCTTGGAGAAGTTAAGAAGTCTAAATCGTCCAATTTCTCAAGTAGTAATGATAATGACGAGACTATCCCACCCAATGACCCTACCGCCTGGTTAGTCTTTCGACAAACGATTTTATAAAGTATATTTTGGAATTTGCCTTTTCACGTTTTTTTCCCTTCCTTCGCAAGGATGCGTTGTACATTACTTTCGGATGAACCGGCGCCAGCCCGAAAAGTGCTGGATCCAGCATTGGAAAACCCAGATCGGTATGATCTCTATGATCCACGAAATCCCTTGAATGTGAGAAAAAGGATGGACGCTGTTACTGTTGGCAAAAATGATGATAGGAGTCAACATAAGCGAAGGAGATTGTAATTTATATTGCTTGTTATATACAGGCTTTCTTTTTGTATTGAATAATATTCTTATACTTACAATATTGGAGAGTGCTGCTTTGCTACCTGATATGCCAACTTTCAATGCAGTATTGGGAGTTTGTAGAATGACACACAGTGTAGGTCAGAATGCTATCTTTAAACATGTTAAAGCGTCTTAATAAGAGGAACAGCTGAGGATCATTTTAATACGAAGCGGAGAAATGGACAAGGAAGAAGCAAGTAATAAAGCTGAGGTGTCAAGAATCCTACCTCGTTTGAATTACGGAGGTGGTGAGCTTACTTCGAAATGCCTAAGTGCTCAAACTATATGAAGTGGCTTCTAGATTCATGGATGGGATTACGTTCATGGTATTCATGTGGTTGTCAATGCTACCTCGATTTGTTTGTCTTGGCAATACCAAGTACCTTTTTGTCATAACTGCTATAATGTAATAGAAAAGTCAGCGCAAATGGAATCCAAATTTTTTAGGACCTGTCAGTCATGAAAGTGACTGGTGAAGTTAGCTAAGCATGCGTGGTACTGCTAGTTGTTGGTACATTAGGTTCATTATTGAGAAATACTAGTTCGAGGTCATTGAAATTTTCTAAATTCAATGGTACCGAACCCGAATGTTAAATGTCTACTAATAAAAATTAGTAGAAGCGAACTCTTATGCATCCAATAGTATTTCCCCATGCGATGGATTGTAGCCGATATTTCAAGAAACTTGGCCGAAAAAATGCCCACTCAAGATCCAATTATGTCGCTTACCCTTCTAATTGAAGCAGTCGAGGATAAACTACTCTTCTGATTGGAGTTCTAACAGAGGCCATTGTGTGCTTTGCAATAGCCACAAAATCGAGACAATTAGTGATCAACGGTACATTTTCATTTGTCCAAATAATGCAATGTGGATGGCTACTTTGATCTGATTGCACTCTTTTTGACTTGGCAAGATTATATTACAGCATAATACAACTCTGGAAAGTGATCACATCATTATATGGGTGGTCAAGACTTTACTAGACATAAAACAAAAAAAACTAGGCAGTAAAATAAACATTTTTCTTTCATCGATAGTGTCATATTGTAGGACACGTCATCGCTTAGTCAACATCACGTTCAAACTTGCGTACGGATCAGGTTCGGCGACCTCACTGACATTAACCAATCAGAGACGCCCATTTGTTTTACCGGATTCGCCATGTTGATAATGACTAAGTTCCTTCCTAACACACACGACTGACGTGCTACGTAGTAAATAAACGTATCCCTTCTCGCTCGCCTCTTTCCTCCATAGCTTTGCAATAGCAGCTAGTTTGGGAGGCTCATCGATAGTAGAGATAACTGAGTACAGTCTAGGCTTATTTGGTGTAGCAGTCCGCTACAAATTGTATGTCGAACCCAAAAACTGGTTTAACTCCCGAAACAACGTAGAAGTGAATTGGGGTCCTCTGTCTGTAGTTATAACGGCGGGGACTCCGAAAATGGATATCCACGAATCCACCAAAGGCTTCGCCACCGACGTAGCAGACGTGTTGTGCAAGAGGACTGCGATTGGCCATCGCGTGAAACGGTCGATGCAGGTTAGGATGTGAGTGTAAGAGTTCGAAGGAGGTAAAGGACCCACAATATCGACGTGAATGTGGCGGAAACGGGCTTCAGGGAGAGGAAAAACGGAGGGCGAGCTGCGCGAATGTCTTTGGACCTTGCTGGCCTGACATGTGAGGCAATGTTTGGCCCAATGGCGGACATTCTGTTTTATGTTCTTCCAGACGAAACGGTCGGTGATAAGCTTAGTTGTGGAGCGAATGCTCGGATGCGACAGACCGTGGAAATGGTCGAAAATCTTCCGGCGGTATGCTTGCGGGACGAATGGTCTCGGCTTGCCGGTTGAAACATCGCAATGGATCGGAGTATCGGAGTCCGGTAGTGGCAAACATTCGAAACGTAACGCAGGATTGTACATGATTTCCTTGAAATCAGGGTCCAACTTTTGTTCGGTGGCCAGGGCTCGCAAATCGAGGGAGGACACCCCTACTTGGTGCAATTCCATACGGGACATTGCATCTGCAACCACGTTACGCGCGCCATCGATATGACGAATATCGTTTGTAAATTGCAGGACGAAATCCAAGTGGCGGGTTTCCCTGGGGGAGTGATGGTCTGAGTTGGTCCGAAATGCATAACTCAGAGGCTTATGGTCAGTAAATATTGTAAACTGACGACCGTCCAATATATGGCGGAAGTGCTTGACCGCCAGGTAGATTGCGAGAAGTTCCCTGCCAAATGTGCTATATCGGGTCTCAGGAGCGGTAAGCTTCCTGGAGAAAAATGAGAGTGGCTGGGTTTCGCCCCTAACCACCTGTTGCAGGACTGCCCCGACTGCCACCTGTGAAGCGTCAGTCTTCAGGATTAGACGTGTCCCATCGGAGGTGTCGAGGTGGTTTAGGGTAGTCGCCTTGGAGAGCAGCTGCTTCACTTCCTTGAATGCGGATTCAGCCTCTGGTGTCAACCGGAAGTGCTTTGGGTTGCCTTTTAGCAAATCCGTGAGAGGCTGGANGATGGGGGGAACGATCCGCCTTGGATGACGTTAGATTCTTCAATTGGTCTATGATGGCGTCCAGTTTGCTGTCCGAAGTGGCGGACGTGGAAGAATCGACGGCGTTAACCATGGACTTTTTGTAACAGCTGTGGACCCGATCGGCCACAGCTAATTTACTGAGGTCATCCTGGTCTGATTGCGAAGCTACCGCTAAGGCAACGTGGGGTGGAAGGTTGTTCCTCCAAAGTTTTTTTAGGAACTCATCGTTCAAACCCGAACCGCTGGCCAGAGAGCGCATGTGCTTCAGGAGATCAGATGGCGTGCGATCTCCAAGTTCGATCTGGGACCAAAGTTGGTTAAAACGCGTATCTTGTGATACAGCATAACGACTGGTGATTGCCTGCTTGAGACGTTCGTAAGAGTTGTTGTCTGGTTGCTGAGCTGCAATATCATTGAATTGGTCTATGATTGGGGCCGGTAGTGCTATGACAGCGTGGGAAAACCAGGTTGCGCGCTTGGTTATTCCTTTCATTCGAAGCATATTCTCGAACTGCAGAAACCAAGTACCTGGGTAATTCGTCATCGCTTAGTCAACATCACGTTCAAACTTGCGTACGGATCAGGTTCGGCGACCTCACTGACATTAACCAATCAGAGACGCCCATTTGTTTTACCGGATTCGCCATGTTGATAATGACTAAGTTCCTTCCTAACACACACGACTGACGTGCTACGTAGTAAATAAACGTATCCCTTCTCGCTCGCCTCTTTCCTCCATAGCTTTGCAATAGCAGCTAGTTTGGGAGGCTCATCGATAGTAGAGATAACTGAGTACAGTCTAGGCTTATTTGGTGAAGCAGTCCGCTACACATATCAAGCTCACTTCCCCAAAATGGTACCCTAACGAAAAGGAGAAGCCCACATTAATAATTTAGTTAACAATTAAGGCAATAATATCTCCTGGTATGGATATGCCAGTTAAAATTCAATGGTTGACGACAGACAACTGGTAATCGCAAGTGATAAGAAACTCTCGAGAGGACTGGTGGTTTCGCCGATCATTAAGCAGAGTATCAAAAGCATGGAACGTTTTAATATAAAACACTATGTGATTATCCATATATATTAGAGTGGTTTTCCGGCAACGTCCTCAATGTTTTAGCAACATGAAGTACACGATCCACCTTGCCTTATTCCCAATAGAATTTTAAGCAAACTCAATGCAGTAATTGATACTATTTTCTATCCTTTCTAGGTTAACTTGGCACTTAGATCTCCTAGCTAAATATATTGACAACAAAAATATTAAATAAACTGCCTTAAGTATGTATATATGTCGAAATTACATCGCCCAAATCGATAAAATGAATGTTTTAATTTTGGATAACTCTACTAAATCATTTATGATCAAAGCCGTTTAGTATAGTTTATGGTATATCAATGTTGTTCCGTTTAACAAAACGAGCAATACCATTTTGAATAAAGTATCCATAAATTATACCCTTGGATATTGTGCATGTAAGATTTCAAATCCAAAATACATAGCTTATTGTTTTAGAATTTCAAGCAGTTAATGAACGACTTTTCAAACAATAACGAATGATATTAAGAAAACGAAATTTCTTAAGATAGATTCTACTTTATTTTGTGCAATTTTCATGTTATCTTGTAATCCAATTCTTTCAGACTATAAGGAGATTTTATGAATTTTAAGTTTTATTCTTTTCGGTGTGAACAATTTTTTACATTTACTAATTGCTATCGTTCTAGATTTCTCTAAATCAAATTAAGCTAAATCCACAAAATCTAAGAGGGATTTATTTCTTATTTTAATTCGGGTTATTACTCCATTCTGCATATATCTATACATAATTACTGAAACATGAGCAAACAGTCGAATTTCAATCATAATGCGATAAAGCTAAAACCCCTTTGAATAGTAATAAATGTTATAGAATTAGTCTAAAAACTTTAAATATGCCTATTTATTCCACAATTTTGAAGTTTTTCACACTTATATGCTTTTTAATCGCACAAACATCAATTTATCTAGGTCAAGGCTGCCTGTGCTGTCGACGTTTATATTTCTCCCTTATCCTTAACCCCTCGAAGGTTCCCTTTGTCACCATGCGATACGTGGCGATCTGTGCTTTGACTATCTTTTTGTTTGCCTTACTCTGTAATGCGCAATTAGATCATCATGGTCATTCTCATTCATCTTCCGAAAAGTAATTTCGTTTTCAATTTTTCTATGCAGTATTTCGATCATAACAATTTTGTTTTTTTCTGGTTAGTCCCTCACATGGTCACAGTCATTCACACAGTGAGTCCAATCACGAAAAATTGCACGGCAAACAAGAGACTGAAACGATATGGATGGACACAGTTAGTGCTGTTTTTGGTATCAGCCTTGCTCCATGCGCCATTCTTTTGCTCGTTCCTGACCTCAATAAGCACAATCGGCTCCTAAAGGTTCTCCTTGCATTTGCTGCTGGTGGTTTACTTGGTGATGCGTTTCTTCATCTTATTCCACACGCTCTTTCTCACCAAGGTGAGAGCCATGACAATCGTGATATCCACAGTTCGCATGGTCATTCACACTCTTTCAATGATTTAACAATTCGCGTCTTTTTGTGTGTCATTGGTGGTATCTTTGGATTCCTTTGCATTGATAAGACTCTTCGTTTCCTGCGTAATGGACATGAGCATTCACATTCTGCATCGCCACAGGTAACCTCAGATAAAAAAACGAAGAATGGAAAATCCGGTGATAAGAGTGGAAGTAACTCAAAAAGTAAACCAAAGCGTTCCAAAGGTTTGTTAGCTTGACTTACTGGACCTTTCGTATTTCATTATTTATTTAATCCTGTAAAAATTTTTTCCAGGTATTGCCACTGCAGGTTACCTGAACCTGGCTGCCGATTTCACTCACAACTTCACTGATGGGATTGCAATCGGTATGTTCTTGTTGAATGATTTTACTAATGATGGTACGGCTTTTTTGAGCGGATTGCCTTAAGTCGAGCTACTTTCTAGATTTGTGTTTTAAAAATTGTTCACGCTTTCCTCATGCGAATGGACTAACTCACGTAAACAACTCCAACCTTAAATTCTATTGTTTTTTCATTAAGCTGACTTGTTATTTTATGCGTAAAATCTCGAATTTAGGCCTCAATTATTGATAAATGTTGTGAGGTTTTTGTTTATTTTATTTTTTTACCATTTTAGCTGGATCCTTTTTAATCAGCCGCAACGTTGGATTTGTTACAACCCTGACTGTTCTTATTCATGAATTGCCTCATGAAATTGGTGACTATGCAATTCTCATCAAATCTGGATGTGGTGTCTATCGGGTTAGTTCTTTTGTAGTTATGCTTGTGGATAAATAGTACTTTCGCAATCTACGACCACAGATAGGTTGGACAGTTGTCTCCCATTTGTAATAAAATAAGATTCTTATGGCTGATGATGAAATTTTCCTTTTTCTCAACTACTTATACTAATTTTAAGTAATATATCGTTGTTATTTTAGGCCATGCTTTTGCAGCTGTTAACTGCTTTTGGAGCCCTCTTGGGTGCAAGTTTGAGTCTCTTGGCCGCCGGTGTAGGAATGGATGGTAAAATAACTTCTGCAAGTCAAGTCCTACTATCTCCTGAACTCATTACCACCTGCCTTTTGCCGTTCACCGCTGGTGGTTTTATTTACATCGCTTTGGTCTCTGTTCTTCCAGATCTATTGGCTGGGCAACATCAGCCACTCGACCGTTCTTCTGGTAAAATCGTTCGTAGGATTGGTCAAGGATTGGCTGAACTCACTGCATTAATTCTTGGTGTTGGTCTTATGGCGACCATAGGTTTTTTTGAATAAGAGGATTTCTTAATTTGCATGCCTCTATAGTTTCCTTACGCATGTGTGTAAGCTTGCCTTCCTTGTCTCTCTGCCTTTATAGTCTTGCACCGGTAAATGAATACAATTCGTCTTGCTTTTGTAACTTAAGTAATTTAAACATTGCTCTTCTGGGACTGGGTTTGTCTAAGTAATATCGGGTTCATATACCAAATAATTCTCCTGTTTTAATGTACAAGAAACTCCATAACCTTGTTGCGTTATAAACAGTAACTAAGGTGGCTTACGGTGCAGAATATTGGCTGCTGTTGAAATTGTTGCTTTTTTAAGAAAATTTAATTAAGGCCATATAGTGACCGAATGACCTGCGTAATGGTATTTGTTAGGCACCTTATTGAAGGCCGCTTGTCTACAAGTGTAATAACGATCTTAAAACCCTAGCAAATCGGCAACGCCGCTTTAAGACGTGAATGCAGTTTTTTTTCGCTGTCTCAAATCATGGAGTTAAAGTGAGAAATGATCTCAAATAAAAGCCTGTATGAGGAGGAACTGGAAGAGATTTTGCGAAATGGCAAAATATTCCGAATGGAATTACAGGAGCCCTCCTACGTATCACATTTAGATCTTTCTTCCTCTTTCTAACCCCTGCAAAGTGTGCTCAAGTAAGTGCTTTGTTATCACTACCCGTTATTGTCTATTTCCGCTAACCCCAAAGGCCACCTTGTCAATTTCGATCTGTCTAGTCAAAGAAAAAGCTAGACTTATTATCCTCTTTCCTGGTTCGTTGTCTTCGCTTCGCATATCTTCAATAACTTATTAAATTGACTTTCCATTAAGCGGATAGACTTCCTTTTACAATGCATCTTCAATTTTTTCTGGTTTCATTTCAACGCCTAATGTTGAAAATATTTCAGGATATTGTCTCAACTTTTCAAAATTCTGATATATAAATTTCCATTTTGGCCCTCTAGGTAATTTAGGTACAAAATCAGGAACGTGGGGTTTCATTTCAGGCAGGTTTCAGTTAGAGGGGGAATTATGCTATACATTTCGCTAGAAATTTCTCCAATTCGTTTGGAATAAATTCGATTTTTGTTAATCAAGGTGACCAGGGATGAGGAGTTCGGGCGCTTCGTTTTTAACATTAGTTGGAATTTTATAGAAGTTCAGAAGTACTTTCAATGCTGGTCTTGACCACAGTTTGCGTCTGTGACAGTCTCGTTAACTTTAAAGTGATACCAGCAGGTGGCTTAAACGGCGCACTTGTAGGATAACTAGACAGCGTTAGGTGTAGCTGGATTAACTTCTGCGTAGTCTTTTATGCAGTTTCCACTTAGCTTCCATTTGGAGATAAGGGTTTAAAAGAAACCTCAATCCATTTGAGGTGATGACATAATTTTCTATGCCATTTATTTATTTGTTTCAAATGTGGGCGTTTTAATGGTTATCATTAGCCAGTTAGCTGATTTTGGGCTTCACAGAGGGAGGAACATCAAAGAGACAAAAAGTCGAGAGGGGAGACAAAATAATGATTCACAGATTTAAAGGAGACGGAGACAAAGGCAAAGAAAAGGTAAAATGTGTATTGTGTAAGTGGTGGAATATGAATTACAGTGGGGTCACGGTAGTTTGAAGTCAGAAGTCAACTGCCGGTTAATTGACTTTTTTGGCAGTATGAGTATACTTTGCCCAGGGTGCACCACGTAGAGGTAATTCTATCGCACACCCCATTTTCAATGCCATTTAAATTAAAATATACTGTACTACTTAAGGCAACTGATAAAGTCACAAATTATTACTTTGTCTGCAGTTTCAACATGATAAAAGCTATGCAATTGATTACCATTTATTTGGCAAAAAGTGCAGATACTTTGAGCAGGCTTAATTTGAAGTTTGGGCTTTTAAAGTACTCAGGACTATGTAGGTGAATTTATGGTGATCTGCTTATTTATCTGAGCATGTGCCGCCTTACTGATCCGCTACCATCTTTACACTCGAACAACTGGTTTACGAATTCCTGGGATCGGTTTCGAAATAGGTAAATGTCTGCTAATTTCGCAGTGAGTAACTTTAGATCAAATTCCTGTTTCTTAACTGTTCAAGCATAAACACTTGAACAAAATTTAGTAACTTAAGGTAAATATTATGATGATGTAAAGTGTCAAGAATGACATTTTGTTGAAATGCCTGACTATTTTAATTACTGTTTATCAGAAAAACAGTAGCTTTGTTTTCACTGCGAAAATTGACACAAAGAGTCGTATTAGGGTCTCCAAAAGCCTTTTAAGTATTGCATGGAAAGCAAACTGTGCTCTGAGATCTAAATTATATTTAATATGAGAATTGTAGCAGTTCCTACACAAATGAGCCCTTTGCTAAACCTTGGCCACAGGCAAATACAACCACTTTTTTGGCAGGCTTCTCCTATTGTAAATATTTGTCTCCAAGCTTGTCGAGGCTATGTCCACAGAATCGAGAATACAAGAACTTTAATGACAAATATATGGTGCAGTGAAGTATACGATCACTACTACGCCATTAAATAAATATGAATAGCTGATTTAATGAACTGGATTGTGGATGAACGATTACACATGGTTGCTACGCGATAACTGTCACATCATTCGTTTCAGAGCATTTTTTCACTCTCGAAAGCGTTGTTCGCTCAACAATATTCTGAAGCTTCGTTTCAGTGATTGCAATGAGTGACCCTGTAAAACTCTTTGTCCTATTATTAGAACGCCATTCTATTGGCGTATTGGGGGAAAAGGCAAGAATTTTGAGAAAGATCTCTATATTGTACAAGACCACGTTATTCAGATCGAATAACCCAGGACTTTCAACAATAATAAGCGTTGTGCTTTAACGTAGCTTATCGAGAAAAGCAGTCCCTGCTTATGCGTTGTTCTAATATTTGAACTTTGAGTTCAACTACGAAATCGATTCCATCTCGCCTTAGTTATGCCCCACAATTAAACCGGATTTTACAATTTTTCGAATACCGAAAAATTTTTAATAGAATTTAAATTGCGTGGAGTTAGTATCACTCCATTTGATGCATGCCCTGCTTTATCAATTTTTAATTAAAACTAATTGGGCATTGTGGATTTGTTGTTTAACCTGTAGTGGATCGCTACTTTATTAAAGCCTGACTGACTCAGAAATCTCTATGGCAGATCCTCCTACATCTAGCTAGACTCCCAGAACCAGCTAAGCTATACCCCAGCTATAAAGGAACCAGACGTGTAGCAAGGAGCACGTTTATTCAGGACGTATATTGCGGATCAAGTGTGTACACGTAGGGAGCTACTCATGATCACGATGGGGTAATAGGCTAAAGAGAGGTTAATGATTGGTCACTGTTTGTACGGTCGCTGCACACAGAGTTGTACGGCCGCACCTCCCAATCCTGGCGAGCAGACATGCAGGCATACGATGACG